AACTCCCTAGTGCTGGGATTAAAGGCATGCACCACCACCACCCGGCCTGACATTTTTGTTTTTTAAAAAAATATTTAAATTAGAAACAATCTTATTTTATATATCAATCCCAGTTCCCTCTCCCTAACCTCCATCCTATCCCTCTTGTTTTCCATAGAAAGGGTGAGGCCTTTCCAAGGGGTATCATCAAAGTCTGTCACATCTTTTGGGGCAGGGCCTAGGCCCTCCCCTGTGTTTCTGGACTAAGAGAGCATCCTTCTATGGGAAATAAGCTTTCAATGTCCATTCGTACACTAGGGATAAATACTGTTCCACTACCAGAGGCCCCATAGACTGCACAGGTCTCCTGACACTCATGTTCAGGGGGCGTGGTTCTGTCCTATGCTGGTTTCCTAACTATCAGTCTGGGGTCCATGAGCAACCCCTTGTTCAGGTCAGCTGTTTCTGTGGATTTCCCCAGCCTGGCTTTAACCCAGTCTTTCATCATTCCTCCCTCTCTACAACTGGATTCCAGGAATTCGGTTCAGTGCTTGGCTATGGGGCTCTGCTTCTGCTTCCATCAGCTACAAGATGAAGGCTCTAGGATGGCATATAAGGTAGTCATCATCTCATTTTAGGAGAAGGGCATTTAGGATAGCCTCTTCACTATTGCTTAGAATCTTAGTTGGCTATGGGGCTCTGCTTCTGCTTCCATCAGCTACAAGATGAAGGCTCTAGGATGGCATATAAGGTAGTCATCATCTCATTTTAGGAGAAGGGCATTTAGGATAGCCTCTTCACTATTGCTTAGAATCTTAGTTGGGGTCATCCTTTTAGATCTCTGAACATTTCCCTAGTGCCAGATTTCTCTTTAAACCTATAATGGCTCCCTCTACTAAGGTATCTCTTTTCTTGCTCTCCTCTATTCTTCCAACTCAATCTTTCTGCTCCCTCATGTCTTCCTCCCCCCATCCTCTCCTCTCCTTCTCTTTCTTCCAACTCTCTCTCCACTCCCCCCATGCTCCCAATTTGCTCAGGAGATCTGTCCCTTTCCCATTCTCCAGGGGACCATATAGAGATATTTTCTTAACTGAGGTTTCCTCTTATCAGATGATCCTAACTTTTGTCAAGCTGACATAACACCCAACAACTAATAAGCACACCAGACTAGGTGAAACAGCAAGCTTCAAGTTTGTTCAGAGACCCAGTCTCAGAAAACGGGCTGTAAAGTGACACACACACAGCTGAGCAGTGGTGGTGCCTGCCTTTAATCCCAGCACTCAGGATGCACAGGCAGGCAGATCTCTGTAGGCCAGCCTGGTCTACAAAGCAAGTTTCAGGACAGACTCCAAAGCTACAGAGAAACCTTGTCTCGAACCCCACCCCCAACAAGTGACACACATGCACATGTGCTTGCACACACATAATACATAACTATAAGAAAACTTAAATCAGGGACCAGAGAGATAGCTCAGCAGTTTCCAGAGGACCTGGGTTCAACTCCCAGCATCCACATGACAGGTCACAGCTGTCTGTAACTCCAGTTCCAGGGGATCTGACTCTCTCACACAGACATGTACATAAATCTTAACAAAAACAAAAACAAAACTTAAAATCATTACATTTGTAGGAAGATGAATGAAAGTCGAGATTATGTTAACACGAAACAGAACAGGAAAAGTCCTCCAAATGAGATCTGTATGTCACTATGTGTGTGTACATAGATGTGTCTGTGTGTGTATACAAACTTCTCAGGATCTACCACAGAGCTTAGCTGACTTCTGGCCTCCTGGAAACTCCACAACTGAGAATGCTCTGATATAACATCTGAAAGGGATTGCTTGCTGCACTGGAGCCCACCACTCTGATGCTCCACATTTATCGATTTATGGATTTCTGTTCCTGGCTGACTACAGAAATTTATTACTGATTACAGTAACATTTTTCGGGGTGAACCATGTCATTTAAGGTAATGGATTGGTGTTTCCTAGGTCACAGTAACTCACATTTGGATCTTTGTTGTCTGTCCAACTTTTCTTCCACTGGGCTCAGATTAAATGCCCTTTCTTCAAGGGAGAGTTCACTTGCCCCACAGGAGACAGGCCCCTTTGTCCCTTGTCCATCACCCTAGCCATCATCACTGCTGAACATCAGCTCTAAGCTGCTTGCTTCACATACAAGGTTGCCAGCAGTGAGGCAAAAGATGAAATGTGAATGTGATTCCGGCTGCCTGTCTGTACCAGGACCTATGTTGGTGGTGGTGGTGGTGGTGGTGGGGCAGGTGGGGTGCTGCTCTTCACCAGAGTTCAATGAGTTATTTTCAGGATGAAAACTGAATTTACATTTGAGTTCCAAGTTGAAGCTCAGGACATTTATTGTTGTTGGTTTTTCAATACAGGGTTTCTCTGTAGCTTTGGAGCCTATCTTGGAACTCACTCTTTAGACCAGGCTGGCCTTGAACTCAGAGATCTGCCTACCTCTGCCTCCTAGTGCTGGGATTAAAGGAGGACACCACCACTGTCCCGCTCCCTACAGGTGTTTTTTGAGTGGAAACTTTAAGAGACTCTATGAGCCAGGAAGACACACTTATCTGTTAACTTTCTGGCACTTTTTGGAGCAGCTAATTACCTTCTAGTAAGATGTAGTTGTGGTGGTTTGAAAAAAAAAAAAAATGTCCACACCATAGGAGGTGTGGCCTTGTTGGAGTGGATGTGGCCTTGCTGGAGGAAGTGTGTCAGTGGGCCAGGCTTTGAGGTTTCAGATGCTCAAGCCACGCCCAATGCGATCCGGATGTGGAAGGATGTGGAAATCTCAGCTCTTTCTTCAGCACCGAATCTGCCCACACACCTATTTCTCACCACGGCGTTAGTGGCCTAAACCTCTGAACAGTAAGCAGCCTCATTTTCGTGTTTTCCTTTCAAAGAGGTGCCCTCGCCAGGGGTCGGTGGCACACGCCTTTAATTCCAGCTCTCAGGAAGCAGAGACAGGTGGATCTCTGTGATGTTGAGACCAGCCTGGTCTACAGAGAGAGTTCCAGGACAGTCAGGGCTATTACACAGGGAAACTCTGTCTTAAAAAAAAAAAAAAAGTTTTCGTGGTCATGGTATCTCTTCACAGCAATAAAACAAAGACATCTGGAAATGCCATGGCATCACTGACTTTAGTTCAAGGGCTTTAAATGGCTTTGTCTTCTGATTGTAAAATTGGGCCATACTTCATTCCACAAAATAGCATGAGCATCCTAGTGGGATAGAGGTTTCTTTCCAAGACACAAAGGGGCTGAAGAAAGTGGGAACCAGAAGCCCAGGACCAGACTGGTCATTTGAAAGTCTCTTCCCTTGTAAGATAGAGATGGGGAAACAATAGAAGATGCAAGAATCATCAGGTTGCCTTTGTGTGTGTGGCAGGATTAAGGCAGAGGCTGCTTCATAACTATGCCAATTCAAACAGCTGTTTTTGGGAAAGTGGAACAAACAGTTTCAGTTAGTGGTAAAAGTGACTCCATTTTGGGGTTTAGCACAGAACCCTAAACCAAAATAATGGCTTCCTATAACTTTTACTCAGTGCAGATATTCTTTATAGCAATGCTGTTATTCCTAAAGGTGTTTTGCAATCCTCCAAAGATTCAAAACTTTATTTTAAATTATTGTATATATGTGTGTATATGTGCTCATGTGACAGATGCCCTTGGAAGCCAGAAGAGGGCTTTGGGTCTAGTGGAACTGGAGTTTCAGGTTGTGTGTTGGTGGAGGGTTGTGAAGGTGGATGCTGGGAATTGAACTTGTGTCCTCTGTAAGAGCAGTACAGTTTTTAACTGCTAATCATCTTTCCAGCCTTAGCCCACCACCACCACTTTAAAATCCTTTAGAAGGTGAGATAGAGTTGGGCACAACGGTACAACTTGTAATTCCAGAACAGGAGGGTTAAGAGTTTGACGCCAGGTTGGAGAATGGTGGTTTCTGCCTTTAATCTCAGCATTGAGAGGCTGAGGCAGGCAGATCACTGTGGGTTCAAGGGCAGCTTGTTCTACATATCACGTTCCAAGGCAGCCAGAGCTACATACTACACATCAAGACTGTCTCAAGAAAAACAAAGAAACAAACAAATAACAACCCCCCCCCCCCAAATAGTTTAAGGCCAGTCTGGACTGTAAAAAAGACTTTTTTTTTTCTAGACAGCATTTCTCTATAGCCTTGGAACCTGTCTTGGGGGCTCAGGCTGGCCTCGAACTCACAGAGATCTGCCTGCTTCTGCTTCCCGAGAGCTGGAAATAAAGGTGGTGTGCACCACCGCCGCCCAGCTGCTTTTGTTTTCTTTTGACAAGGTCTCACTATGTAACCTTGGCTTTCCTGGAACCTGCTAAATAGAGAAGGCTGGTCTCAAACTCACTGAAAGCCACCTGCCTCTGGGATTAAAGGCGGGTGCCACCATACCCCTGTCCCAGTCCGGTGAAAGCTTTTGTTTGAGGCAGTAGTGTAGCCTCAGGATCAAACAGCAGCTTTCCCCTGGAGTCAGGGCTGGGCTCACACCTTGGTAGGGTGGGGTGGAGTTCCACTAGCTGGATCTCATGAAATAGGTACCTAACACACAGTCATCGAAGCAGTTCACGGTTTTCCTTGGCAAAGTCTGGCTCAAGTCTACCTCGACTACCAAACTCGAGCGTGGGCAAACCGAAAGGCTTGGCTGGGCAGCGCCCAAGCACTTGGCTCTGACCCTGCCAGGCTCTAGGAGGGCGTGACGCTGCCCGCACGTCTCCTCCCCGTCCTTTGGCCTCCGAGAAGCGCGCAACGACTCCCACGTCCTCGATTGAATCTCGGTCGCGTTCTGATCCGTAGGAAACGCAAGCCGGACTCTGCAGAGGCCCCGGGCCCACGGAGCGGTGAGCCGAGGATGCGCGGGCTGGGATGTGGCGCGGAGGATGCGCGGGGCAGCCTGAGCTAACGCTACCAGCGG